GGGACTCCATCAAATGGACCTAAGCCAAAGTGGCCATGCAAAAAGTCAGACTAAATGGAATGAAACTGGTCAATCTCAAGGGGTCAAGAACGTACAGTCCCACTCAGAGACAGAACAACTGGCAGACCCACCAAAAAAAAAGCGTTGAATGTATTGAAACACCATTTTCTGCAGACCCGGAGGCTCCCCGGAGCTTACTAGACTGATATGCTATGTTAGACTTTGGCATCAGTCATGTGTATGAAGTTCTTATGGGCCTACCGGGGACCACGAGCCAGAACCTGGCCTCCTCAGAAGAGGCAAGGGGAGCAATGGCCTATATAAACCCCCGTGTGGTTGGAAGCATTCTATGTCTGCCATCGACCAGGTCAGGCACCCAGAAAGGTAAGCATTCCAAAACAAACCGCTATTCTGGTGAAAATATTGCTACCAAAAGCCGAACAAGTGGATAAAACTCATCTAAAAGAAACGAGCAAACAATCATGACGTCACACGTCGCCTCGCCGCTGTCTGCGCAGCTGCCCCCCTCCCCAGGAGGGGGAAGGGGGGGAGCCTCAGACCCCTCACGCCGGCTATCCACCATTAGTTCTTAGGCCGGATGTCAAAAACACGTGAAAAACTGCCGACCGGAGGGAGGGAGGGATGCTGGGGAGTCTCCGGGTCTCACCCAGAAAATGGCATTTCATTACATACAACGCTGGTTTTCTGGGGGGAACCCCCTTCGGCTTCCCGGAGCTAACTACCCACAGAGGAAAAAAACTTAGGGACTTACCTGGGAGGCGGTCACTGCCCACTCTTCAACTCGAATTCGAGACAACTGGCTGCAACCGCCGACCCAAAGCGTCACAGGCCCGACTAGGCCCAGGGATGATACCTGGTTGATACCTGGTTGATGGGGTTCTGGGAGTTCTTCTACTCCCCAAGCCCGGCCCGAGGCCAGGCTCGACTTGTGAGAGTTTGGTCCACCAGGCTGTTGCTTGGAGTGGCCCGCAGGCCCACATACCCACCACAGCCCGGTTGGTCCGGCACTCCTTGGAGGAATAAATCTAGTTTCCTCTTGAAAATGTCCACGGTTGTTCCGGCAATATTTCTTATGCTTGCTGGGAGGACGTTGAACAACCGCGGACCTCGGATGTTTACAAGGTAATGAGCAGCCAGGGCCCTGTTCGACCACCAAAAGCCCCATGCCCCAATGTCAGCCCGCGACATGTTGCCAAAGACAGCAGCAAGAGCAGCGAACTTACGAACATCAAGGGCACGGGAATAGACCGCAGGCTGGCTAGCCTTAATAACTCTGCGGAAGACCTGGGAGACCCGCACCCGCGAACAGGGAAGAAGGGAAACTGGATCAACCCAAAGCGCGTCTCCGAACAGAGAAACCGTGTTGCGCAAACATGATGCACCCCCGGCCTAACCAACCATGCATCCACAACCCTGGGACCCCTCCGGAAAAAAGCAGTCTAATTCTTCACCAGAAAAGAAGGAAACAGCTGCAAACAAACAAAACCATCACAAAGACCAAAAGAGCAGAATCCCCTGCGCTGGAGGAGAGCATGAAGCGCACCAACCCGACCCCCAGAGGCCAATGCCAACAGAAAATGAGCCTTGGAGAAACAATCCTGAACCGAAGGGGCCACAACAAACCGAGGAGAACAAAGAAAGAGAGCACTCTGTCCAATGACCAGGACAGCTCAGGCGGCGCATGAGCAGGCCGGAGGTGAAATAACGCCCGAGACAGCTTGCAAAATGGTGCAAAAGTAACATCAATACCGAAAGCAAGCTGAAGCGGCTCTGCCAGTGCTGCACCATACGAGGCTACAGTGTTAGGCATAAGGTGACGGTCCTGGAACAACCACGAGAGAAAGGACAACACCACCCTAACAGAAAGCGAAGTACAACAACAAAGACGCAAGAAGAAACAGAAGTACCCCAGGAAACTTCGTACTGCCACCGAGATGAAACCCGCAGGTGGGACACTAACAAGGAAGCCACCCGATCACCATAGAGATGATGATAAACTCGAGTCAAAAATACCATACGCGAAGACTCGAGGAGAAGATCGAACCAGCCACATGACGTTCCGGTCAGATCTGCTGGAAGCAAAAAGCAGCAGACAAAAGGGAGAAGACAACCTAAGAGCTAGGGCCCAGGCCGATTCTAGAGAGGAGGCAAGCCCCGCCTGTCAACATGCGAGCTGGGAAGCGTAAAACTGGGCAACTGCATCCCTCAAGATCAGCGCAAACAGTTTCAACAAGGCAGCCGATGCGCAAGCAGCCGAGCCCAAGGCACCAGACCCCGGAACAACACCAAGCGCCCCAAGTCCTCCCCAAGCCAGTCCGAAGACAGCTCCAGGAGGGAAAAGAAGCGCAAGGCCGAAGTCAAGAGGCCCCTGGCGTGCAAATCCTCAGCCACCTGGGCAGTCGAAAGGGAGGGAACCTGCACATGGAACTGCAGAACACCAATATCCTGGGGAATGGCAAAAGCAAACAACAACTCATTGTGGTACTCAAGGTCACCCCCCAGGAAAACCTGAACCACAAGAGAAACCTCACACCACTCAAGCATGCAGGAACGACAGAAGGAATGCCAGGCCTCCAAGGCAAAGTCAGGACAGTTCGCCAGCCAGGACGACTCCAGAACCTCGTCACGGACCCAGAAAGAGAACGAAGTCCCAAACCTGAAAGACGACAGATCCATCACCGAGGCGTAATCTGGGTCACGCAGGAGGTAAGCGAACAAGGGCCACCCGCACTGCAGCCGGTTGGATGCGAGAAGCCAAAAACCACTGGAAAGATGGAACCGAAGCACCCGAGGGGACATGAAATCGAACCCGGGGAGGGGCAGGCACCAAATCCAAGTCGTACGAGGAGGGGGGAAAAGAGAACCCCACACCTTATAACAATAAGCCCCGCTCCGAGGGTAGAAAAACCCAGGCGGGGTCTAGCAGGGCCCAAGGCCCCCAAGTCAGCCCCTCCCCAGCCCCAGGATCCCCCTCCTCAGGACCCGGGGCCGAGTCGCCCCCCCAGAGCACCGGCCCCTAAAGAAAAGCCAGTGCAGCCAAGTAAGCCAATCAGAAGGGGGGCCCACTGGTCAGACCCAGAGGCTTCGGCTGGGAGATCGGACTCAAAGGCCTCCGTCGCCACACCGGAAAGGGCATCCCCCAAGATCGTCCGAGACTCAAGACCATCCAAACCCTGCCCCGACTCCGAAACCCTCAGACGATTCCGTGCCGGAAGCAGGGGTTATGGGACCAGAATGAACCACAGAAGAGGAAGGACGAGGGGGCGCGGACTGAACCAAGGTCGAAGCAACCCCAACCCCCAAGACCGGGTCCCTATAAGCAAAACGGGCCAGCCTTGGGGCATCCGGGTGAGCAACCAACCTAGTGCGTTGCAACAACCTAAAACGCACATGCAACGCCTGCGCCGCCTGTATCCGCATAAGATCATCAGTGGACTGGGTAAATTAAGTCACCAGCAAGCAGCAGTACTCACCGGACTCAGGGTCAAAAGTGTCACCGACCCAACAGGCAGGGTGACGGAGGCAAAAACCGTGAGGATCACCCCGAGTCGAGGGGATCGAGCAACCCTCAAACTCGCATGAAGCAACGGTGGAGGGGGGGGGGGGCTCCGGGGACACATCCATCGGACCCACGCACCCCCTAGGGGATTTCCAGCGTCCTGAGCGCTTACTATAAGAGGACTCACAGCCAGGTAAACCCAGGCAGGGTACCACTAACCGGCGCCCAAAACTACCAAACAACTGTCTAAAACTGAACCCCAGGGACGTGTACACTCACGGAGACCTAGCAGGGGGCACCACCGAATTAATAGTGCACAGGTAGGCCCAACGAAGACAAAGCAAGGCAGACCCCCCCCACAAGGCACTAAACAAAAAGAAAAACAAAATCCCGCAAGAAGACAACCCACCCCAAGGAACAGAGCCGGCCATTGTGAATGGTGACAACTAGCTGTGCAGTAACCTGCGCCCCACCAGTGCAAACTGCCTTACCCTAAGGTAAACAAGGAAGACAAAACCCTCAAGCACCCAAAGGGCAGCCAAAAAACGAGCAGTCAGACGGCCTAGCAGAGGCAGGTCATGAGAAACTTGTGGAAGGTGGCCCCAAGCCCCAAGGGCACCTAGGGATGATAACCCTAGGCACATGTAGCCTGAGCACTGTGGAATAACTCCTGGCTCTTGCACCCCTGGAAGATAGCAACCACAGGCCAAGTACCGTGCTGAAAAATGCTGGAACCATGCACACAACCACTGCCTCTAGCATCAGCCTGAGCACTAAGGGTAGATAGCTGGCATGAGGGGTCTGGGGCTCCCCCTTCCCCCTCCTGGGGAAGGGGGCAGCTGCGCAGACAGCGGTGCAGCAACGTGTGACGTCATGATCGTTTGCTCGTTTCTTTTAGGGAAGTTCTATCCACTTGTTTGGCTTTTGGTAGCAATATTTTCACCAGAATAGTGGTTTGTTTTGGAATGCTTGCCTTTCTGGGTGCCTGACCTGGTCGATGGCAGACATAGAATGCTTCCAACCACACGGGGGTTTCTATAGGCCATTGATCCCCTTGCCTCTTCTGAGGGGTCCAGGTTCTGGCTCGTGGTCCCCGGTAGGCCCTAGAACTCCAAACACATGACTGATGCCAAAGTCTGACATTAGCATTTCATTACATTAAACACTGGGTTTCTGGGGAGGGGGGGAAGCCCTTTATGAAATCTGTCAAGCTAACTACCCATGGAAAAGGAAGAATTGGAAATAGGAATAAGAAGTTATACATTGTTCTGAGGTGTTCATAATAATGAGATCAAGATTTTGATTACACTGTTATTACTGTTATTACTTATTGCTAATACTTACATTAGGTGTCCTGAATATTACAATACAGCACAACATTAACATCCTGGTTGTACATAAGGATATGAACCTCGCAGAATGAATTAGTCTGGACAATCGCCATTATTCCATTATTTTGTACTGAACCAAACATACTAACCTTTCTCCTTTCTTCTGTTCCATCTTGTGTTCAGTTGAATTTATTTGCTTTTGTATACTCTGGATGTCTTTGGCAATAGCTCCCACTTCTCGGCGCGCCTTGCCAATATCGTCATCCATCTCGTCACATTCCGATTTCTTTGCCAATTTCTCAGAACGTTTCTTTTCCAGATCTCTCATAGACTTGTCAATTTCCCCCATCTGTTATAGTGAAATGAGATTTCAAAACGTTATCATATCCAGAAGTTAAATCTCACAAATGTTAAGAGTACTGTATTATATATATTGGCATTTGAGTGGTATAAAACACTTGTACAGTACAGTATAGTATTAGAGAGTGGAAGATATGATCAGGACTATAATCACCAAAACTTGTATTTATGGAAGGCAACTACAGTATTAACCTACCTGTTTTTGTTCTGCCTGTTTGGCTTGTTCTAGAGCATCCTCGTCATCTTGAACAGCACGTTCCCATCTTGCCACATTACTTTGCGTGTCTCGTGATTTTTCAAACTCCAACTGGTTTAAAATTCGATTTTTCTGCTTTTCAAATTCTAAACGACGATTAGCACGGTCGGTCTGGGCCTGCAACTCCCGCTCTTCATACTGACGAATATTGGTCACCCCAATAGATTTGCAGAAGTCAGAGAAAACAACATCTTCTACAGTGTTCATCTTCTCCTTTACATCACTCATGAGAGCCTCACGCTCTGACATAGTTTTTTCTATGTCATGAAGCTGTGGTTCAAATGTATTCAGTTCAGCCTTTAATTTATCCAGTTCTTTCTGCAACTGGGCAATCTGTTTTTCTGTAGTTTCCTTGTCAGTCTTCGAGTACTTAAGTCGAGTTTCAATGCCACGAACCTGAGACTCCACTGTGTTGAGCTCAGATTCCTTACGCGACTTCTTCATGGCTTCTCGTAGTTCTTCTGACAACTTCTCCTTCGATGATTTTAGGTTGGATAGATGCTTTTCGTCCCATCTCTTAGCTTTTCTCGCCAGATCCAAACTACCTCCAGAGATGATGCCAGACTTAGAGAAAAATGTACCATCCAAAGCCACAGCATCGTATCTGTGCCCATCCTCCATCTCATATGCCACCTTTGAGGCATCCTCGGGAGTCTCACAAACTAGTGCATTATTTGTGGCAAACAACACTGCCCGTTTGATCTCGGGCGGATCATACTGCAAAACATCATACAGAAGCTTGACATTTCTTGGATCCTTAATGTTTCTAAGCCTCTCCTTGAGAGGTTTGGCTTGGATATAATCTAAGGGAAGGAATGTTTCAGGATCAAGCATCTGGTCCTTGAGGTACTGAACACACTGCCGGGCAGTCTTCTCAGTGTCAACAACAATGGCTTCCATATACTTGCCAAGGACCTTTGTGATAGCAACATTGTATCTGTAATAGACAAAAAAAACTATTACTTATGTCCAAAGATAGAACCTTTTGCTTATTCAGCCCATCCTCCTCTTTAGTTTGTACTAATAGTAACAATGAGGACCATAGTACATATATGTTGTAATGGACAATTAGAAAGTAGAAATCGTTACTATTGGATTTGGACAAACCGGAAATGGTTTTGTATTTATGTTGCAAAGACAACCTAAATTAACCTAACCTTCCTAGGCCTAATACATGCTATATGAGGCCTAGAGCCCTGTCGGGTCCCTGGAGCTATCCAGGCTGAATAGATATGTATAACTTTCTGGCATCAGTCAATGTGCTTGGAGTTCTTGCCTACCAGGGACCACAAGCCAGAACCTGGTCCCCTCAGAGGAGCACAAGGAGCAATGGCCTATAGAAACCCCCCATGTGGTTGGGAGCATTCTATGTCTGCCATTGACCGGGATAGGCACCCAGATAGGTAGATGCTCCAAACAAACCCCTATTCTGGTGAAACTATTGCTACCGAAAGCCGAACGAGTGGACAGAACTCCCCAAACAAAAATTAGCAAACGAGCATGACGTCATCATGTTGTCACGCCGCTGTTTGTGCAATCCCTCCCCCCTCCCCGGGAGGGGGAAGGGGGAGGCCCAGACCCTCGCACCGGCGACCCAACCTTCAGTTCTTTTTGTCTCAGTTCTGTGTCTTGTGACGTGAGCTGTCTCTCCAGGTGGTGTGTGAGCCAGGAGTAATATTCCAAGGTACTCGGGCTGCATGTGCCTAGGGCTACCTAACCTAGGTGTCCGGTAAGTACTGCTCTTGGGGCATGAGGCCACATTCCACAAGTCTCCTTGGGATCTGCCTCCGTTGTGCCTTTTACTGCTCAGTACTTGGCCGCCCTTGGGGTCTGCTGGGGTTTTCTTGCCCTTGTGTGTCCCTGGGTAGGGGGTAGTTTTTGGCACTGGTAAGGGCGCAGGGTACTGCACAACTAGTTTTCACCAATTATAGTGGCCAGCTGTGTTTCGCCTGGGTACGTTGTCCTCTTGTGGGGTTTTTATTTTGTTTTTGTTTTCTACCTGGTGGGAGGGTCTGCCTTCGTGGTTTTTCCTTAGCAGTTGTAGGGGAATATAATTATTGTTTTGGTGGTATCCTCCACTTGGCCCCCGTGAGTGGAAACATCCCGGGGGTTCAGCTTTTAGCAGTTAGTTTGGTAGACTTGGGCGCCGGTTTGCAGTACCCTGCCTGGGCACCCCTCAGTGTGTTAATAAGGCTAAGGGCCCCGGGGGCTCTGTGGTCCGAGGGATGTGACCCTTGAGTTCCCTCTCGCTTCGTGCGAGCTTGAAGGTTGCTCTGTCCCCTTGTCTCAGGGTGACACTCACCGGTTGTGCCTCCGCCATGCTGCCTGTTGGGTTATCTTGAGGTTATCTTGAGATGATTTCGGGGCTTTTGTGTCCCCGCGGCCTGGTCCTCAACCAGGCCTCCACCCCCAGGAAGCAGCCCATGACAGCTGACTAACACCCAGGTACCTATTTTACTGCTAGGTAACAGGGATATAGGGTGAAAGAAACTCTGCCCATTGCTTCTCGCCGGTGCCCGGGATCGAACCCGGGACCACAGGATCACAAGTCCAGTGTGCTGTCCACTCAGCTGACCAGCTCCCAGCGATGGGTCAGCGATTCCTTTGACTCGGAGTCGTACAAGGTTTGTTCTCTGTACGTGCTCCAGTTCACAAGCTACTGATACTGATATGAGAGTGCAGGTAGCTGCTACGTTGCATGCTAGATTTAGGTTGCTGCAACATGCTAAGTTGGTTGCGGCCCCGGATGCCCCAAAACTACCACGTTTTTGTTATAGGGATCTTGGGGGTAGGAGTCGCTTCGGCTCTGGTTCCGTCTGCCCCTCCTAGTCCTTCCCCCTCTGTTGTTCATCTGGTTCCTTCCCCCTTGCTTCAGACTCTGAAACGTCTGATGGTTTCGGAGTCAGGGCAGAGTCTACTTGGTGTTGAAACTCAAGGGTTTCGGGGGAGTCCCCTTCTGAGGTTGCGGCGGTGGCGTTCGAGCCTGGTCCTCCTGCCAGAGCTTCTGGATCTGACCAGTGGGCCCCCTTTGTTCCAGCTTTTTCAGCTGCTCCTGCTTCTTCTTTAGAGGTAAGGGGTTTGGAGGCAAGCTGGGCCCCTGGTCCTCAGGGTGGGGTTCCCGGGGCGGGGAAGGGGTCGACTTGGGGGCCTTGGGCTCCGTTGGACCCCGCCTAGGTTTTTCTGCCCTCAGCGCAGGGCTTGGTGTTACAGGGTGAGGGGTTCTGTTTTGATCCCTTCTCGAATGATTTGGATTTGGTGTCTACCCCTCCCCAGGTTCAGTTTCGTGATCCCATGGGTTCCTCGGTCCAGTCCTTCAGGTTCCCAGCTTCCTGTGTCCCATCTCAGGAGGTACGGGAAGCCATTGCGGCTTACCTCCTGTACAACCCGGATTATGCTTTCGTGATGGATCCGTGCTCGTTCGTGTACGGATCATCTTGTCCGTACTAGGTCATGGTTCATTATGAAGTTCCGGAGTCGTCCTGGTTGGCAGACCGCCCACTCTTTTCGATGGAGGCTTGGCACACGTTCAGTCGGTCCAGCACGCTTGAGTGGAGGGAAGCTCAGAATGCATTGCAGGTTTTCCTGGGGAGGGCGATTTCAAGCACCTCAATGCGTGTTTGTTTGCCCCTGCCCTTCCGCGGGATGTAGGTGTGATACAGCTTCATGTGCAGCTTCCCTCCCTTTCGGATGCCTTGGTTGCGAAGAGTTTGTGTACTTGTGTAACCAAAGTAATAGTCCACCCAAACGCAGGGCCGAAGCCTGCTGGCTTCGGCCCTGCGTTTATTTTCCCTCCTCGAACTGTCATCAGATTGGCTGAGATGGATGTGTGGGCGCTTGGGGCCGCCGCTGGGCCGGGTGCGCTGTCGTCAGCAGTGCAGACATTGTCTGCCCTGTTGGAAACTGTTCGTGCCACTCCTGCAGGATGCAGTTTCGCAGTTTTATGCTTCTCACCTCGCGTGTCGACAGGTGGTGCTTGCTTCTTCCTTGGAATCCGCGTGGGCCCTGGCTCTTAGGGTGTCCTCCCCTTTTTGTCCGTTGCTTTTGCTGAGTCTGTGGTGGTGCAGCATCTGCAGGCGGCTTCGGTTATGTTCGGTTTGGCTTATGTCGGATTTGTTGGTACTCCGGGGGACTCGTGGGGGAGCCTTCCCGAAAAGGTTGTGCCAGGGCTCAGGGTTCTTTCTGTCATGGTTGGCCAGTGGTAGCAGATTCAGGGCAAATGCAGCCGCCGGTTCCATCTGTTTCTGGTTGGCACGGGGATCGCCCTGTGCGTCGCTTAGGTTCTTGTAAGGTGCATCGGCCCTTTCGCAGTTCGTCCCATTAACGAGGCGATGGGGAGGAGGCTCGCTCTGTTCGCTCATGCCTGAACTTTACCATGATGGTCTACCCACCGAGTCGGGTGTGGCTTCATCAGCTGTTCTGGTTCCTTTGGGGACATCACTTCCTCTTCTCTCTCGCGATCGCTGGGTTCGACCCCCGGGGGCCTTACGTCGGTTGCTGCGTCACCGGCTTCCTCTTCAGGTTTTTCGGGGTTCAGTGCCTTGGCGCCTACCAAAGCCCTCACTAGATATGTTCACGGACTCATCATCTCTTAGCTGAGGCTTTGTGACCAGTGTTCACCAGGCCGGCAAGGGGCGGTGGAGTCTGTCCCTCCATCTGGCTCACAGCACAGTGCGGGAATTCACGGCGGTGTGGATGTCGCTTCAGAGCGTTCAGGTAGCTCGCAGATTGATGATAAGGCTCCATTCAGACTGTTCCCCGGAGGTTCATTGCCTGAACCAAGGGGGTTCGTTGCGGTCCTTGGCGCTTTAGGGATGGTCGCTTTGGGTGACTCGTCTGCTGAGTTCTCAGGGTTTGGCTCTCCTGGCAGTTCACGTTCAGGGGGTGTCCAATGTGATGGCAGATGGCCTGTCCCAGTTCATTCCCCTGTCCACTGAATGGACGGTCGACGCCAGCTCGTTCAGTTGGCTCTGCCAGACGTTCGGGCCTCTGGAAGTGGATCTCTTCACGTCGGCGTGGTCAAGACGGGGAGTGGTCGAGGTGGGGTTACCTGTACCTCTTCTCCCGGTTCTGCTGTTGCTCCAAGTCCTGGTTTGTTTGGAGACTTACCAGAGGAGAGTAGTCCTTGGACCCTTGTTGGCCGGCCCAGCCTTGGTTTCAGGTTCTGCTTGCTCGGTGTCCAAACCCAAGGGTTCAGCCGTTCCTTCCATTCAGGATTGTTTTTCTAAGGCACTTTTCCTGTTGGCATTGGCCTCTGGGGGTCAGGTCAGGGAGCTTCATGCTCTCCTCCGGCACAGGGGTTTCTGCTTTTACAGTCCTGGAGTTCGTTTTGTTCAGTTGCAACTGTCTCCTTCTTTTCTGGCGAAGAATGAGACGGCTGCATTCCGGAGGGGGCCTTGGGTTGTTGATGCTTGGTTGGTCTGGCAGGGGGTACATCGTGTGTTGTGTCCGGTTGCGGCTTTCCGCCATTATTCGCGCGCCATGACATTGGTGGGCGGGGATGCGCTTTGGGTTGCCCGGTTTCCCTTCTTCCCAGTTACCGGGCTGGGGTCTCTTGGGTCATCCGCAGCGTTATTAACCCTTAAATGGCGCATGCTTATATACCATTTGACACCCACAGCCGCATACAAAAAAAAAATCTTTTTTCTTCCTAACCTGTTAATTTGTGTTCACTGATCATGGGAAAAATAATAAAAAAATCGTAAGTGGCATATATTGCCCGCTATAGGGCGGGGAAGTCTGGCAAAAAACAGGCGCTGACTCAGCATGCGTCCCAGGCGGTCTGTTGCTCACCAGCTGTCAGACTGGAGTTGCCACAAAGATAATTACCTAATTATTTCAATGTCTGATTGATTTTTCGTAGTTTTTTTGCTGTAATATTATTCAATAGTGTGTAGTTTGATAAATTTATATAATACAATGAGTGAATCATCGTTGTAC